TTAAAAATATACATATAATAGAACAAACTAAGAAAAGACACCCCAACCCATCAGGAAAACTTATATCTTGAAAAAGCAAACTGTACACCCCTTGGGAGCGGGCATGAAATATTGTGATGGAATAATTTGAAAACATGTAATATATATATATATATATATATATATATATATATATATATATATATATATATATATATATATATATACGTATGTGTGCATTACTGCCTTTAATAACATTATCTTCAAACAATGAAAAGATAACATTGAGAAAAAACAAACAAATCATATCTATGCAAAACACTTTTAACATAAAGTTTTAGAGAAATATTAATTCTAAAGTTTACTCTTAAATCTTCTCAATGGCTTCACTCAGATGATGCACATAACGAGTTAATATATATATATATATATATATATATATATATATATATATATATATAAACAAACACAGATATATGTACACACACATATATATATATTTATATATATATAAACAAAACATATATACACATGCATATTTCTTTATATTCATGTGCAAACCCTCAATCACACATACTGTCATATCTGGTCTAGTGCTTTTGGTTTATATCTATAGATTCTTGACAAAATTCAAAAGATCTATCTGCAATGTTACCGGTCTTGACCTGGTATCTCGGTTTCAGTCACCGCTGTAATGTCGCTTCTCTTTACCTTTTCTATAAATATTTTCATGATAATTGTTCTGATGAGTTTTTCTCGTTGGTACCTGGACTTCATGAATTTAATCGCAGTACTCGATTATCATCTCTGTCTCAAAATTTCACTGTTGAAAATGCTAATGGTAACCATAGGTTCTATGTTAATACTTTCTTCTCCCGCGCTTCTCACTTGTGCAAATGTCTTCCGGGTTCTTGCCTTCTTTAACAAAATCAAATCATCATCCTGTCTGCTTTTGATGTCCTGTTTCTTTCACCCCAGTAACCTCCTAGCTGCCTCGCACGTCATGTATCGAAAGATATATGATCGCCTAAGCGTGTATCATGCATGGCACCATAATTGACTGAACACGCTGTCATTGCAGTGGCTTTTATTGCCTTGTTTGATGTATGAAGATAAAAAATATCATATAAACTTTGTTAATATAACCAAATAATTTTTAAAAGCATTTTTGGTTTTATCATTTCAGATTTTAGTATATGAACAAACAGGAATGAATTATTTTGGAGTTCTGAGAATATAAATGATTTAGAAATAAGGTAATGATTTTTATTTGGGCTTTGAAATGATTAAATTTCTTCTTCTTTATTTGCCACAATCTATTTCTATGTGACAAAAAGATGTTAATGTAAGAGAATTTGTTCAAAGCCATTGTTGCACGCTGCTACACCTTCCCAAACGAAGGTTGGAAGTAATATATCGGGTGAGAGAATTTCCTCGATCACGAAAAGAGATAAGTGAGTATTATCTCTATCGATTCTCAAACATATTTTCCCTCTTTCACAAATAATGTGTGTGTCTGTGTGTCTGCCCGTGTTTGCATTCCACATTCAGTCACTGTACGTTTTTGTCTGCCCACCTGCCTCTCTTTCTCACTCCCCTTGTTTCTCGTTCTCTTTCCCTTTCTCTTTTTATCTGTCTTTCTTCATCATTTCCACTTTCTTTTCTTTTTCTTACTTTCGTTTTCTTTCCATTCTTTTCTTTTCATACTTTCATTTTCTCTGTCTTCCTTTCTTTCTTCCTTTTCCCTTCCTTTTCTTTTTCTTCCTTTCCTCTTTCTTCATTTTCACTTTCTTCATTTCTCTTTCTTCTTTTCATTCTCTTTCTTCTCTTTCTCTTTCTTCGCTTCTTTATCATTAATTTTTCTTTCTTCTTTTCGTCTTCTTTTTCTCTTACTCTTTCTCTTCCACTTTCTCTTTACATCCTTCTCTTCATTTTCTTTTCTTTATTTCCTTCTCTTTCTCTGAATCACTTTCTGCTTTTTCTTTCTTTCTTCATTTTCTTTATTTGCGTCTTTCTATTTCCCTCTCGTTCTCATTCTCTTTTCCATTCTCCCTCTCTTTCTCTTTCTTGCTCTCTTTCCCTTTCTCGCTTTATCTGTCTTTCTCTTTCTTTTTCACTATCTTTTTTTCCCTTAATTTCGTTTTCATTCCATCCTTTTTCTTTTTATTTTCATTTTCTCTTTCTTCATTTTCTCTTTCTTTTCGTTCTCTTCTCTTTTTCTTTCGCCTTTTTCTCTTGCACTTTCTTTTTATCTCTTTCTCTTTATCGCTTTCTACTTTTTTCTTTTCTCTTTCTTTTTTTCTTCTTTATTTATTTTTCTTTCTTTCTCCTTCTTTTTCTTTTCATTCTTCTTTTTCTTTTCATTCTTCTTTTTCCTTTTCCTTTTCTCTTTCCTTTTTTCTTTTCTCTTTTTTTCCTACTTTTCTCTCTTTTTCTCTTCTTTATCTCTCTTCTTTCTCTCTCTCTGTCCTTTTTTCACTCTTCTCCTTCTCTCACTCCCCCTCTCTTTCTCCTCCTATAAAATTATAACATAGTCTTACAAACATATCAAACAAAGAAGGATGTGGTAACAAAACTATGTATATACAAGTAAAACTCTCTTTCTCTGAGTATATGGTACGTTAATTGAAGTTTCAATTAAATTTTAAATTGAAATCATCTAATGTGTGTGTGGGAAGGATTCAGTACGAGCACTTTTTCTGGAATTGAGAACTAAACACAAGGCTCAACTTTCTATTGACTTTAATCTATGAAAGTGCTATTTGTTTAAAAATCATATTGCCATTAATTTTCAAAATAAATGATAAAACCTTACTTTTTTTCAATTATCTTCTAAAACCTTATATACTTATGTGCAGGAATGTCCGATAGATTTCACTAAAAAATTACAACCGAGGAGAAAATAAAATTGTATATGAAACCAAAATAAATTTGTATATAAAACCAAAACAAAAATGCTTACAATAGGATAACAGGTCTAAAATATATTCCTTGTATGAGGCCAGAATCTTGAAACTGTAAAATATAAATTTTAAAATGTGATTAATATCAGGGACATAGAATATATAAACATGTTGATCTTGATTAAACATCAAGTATAATCTCGCCAGCCAATGTTGATATCCATGTACAATGTCCACACTGCTTATATATATATATATATATATATATATATATATATATATATATTATATATAAACAATAAGAAAATAAAAAAATTAAAAAAATTAATTAAAATCTTTAGACACACTGGGTTGTACATTAATATTCTTTCGTTTTTTTTATTATTATTCCATTTAGCTCAACATCTTTTGGTCAATGCGAATAAACCACTCAATCTGATCATAAATAATTTCCTCCAGTACATACTTTACTGTTTCCTATTTCTCCTTCAGTGATCGTTTACCGCTTTTCAGTGAATAGTCTCCAATCTTTCGCTACGTACGGTGTCACTCCAATTTTGTGCAGAAGCTTCGCAATATCTGTACAGTACACCACGTTCTTCTCTTCAGAGAAAAAAACGGAGATACATGTTGTGGTAGAAGTTAATATGAGCACTGTCAAAGGGGAGTTTTTTTTGCTTCAATCAAGATGCCAACAGAGAAGTTGAGAATGTGAATAGGATCATTTAGTTCCTTTTGGGAAAAGGATATGACGTATCATTGTCAAAAACCACTTCTTTTTCTTCTTTCTCACTAATTTCAAGAAGTTCTCCAAAGACAGGTTTTGGAATTTCATCACAGTGAGCTACAGGACGACGCACTGATTGAAGATCAGGATTTATGGATTGCTCCTGTTTATCCCAGTCACATCAATAGCACAGAAGTAGCAGTCATTATTATAGTTTGTTGTCATCCTCTAAAAAAAACAAACAAAATAAAACAATAGGACAACTAATGCAGACAATCGGTACATGCCTTACATATCATGTGTGGCATCCAATCTTGATCCTGTTCACAAAGCTGTTGAGTCGTGAATGGGGTCTTGAATATCAGCAGTTCGAGTGGCATGGCCCTTAGTGGAATCTGAGAGGCTCTGTCGCTGAGGTCAAACATAGTGATTTTTATACAGTTATTCCTGAGAAATTGGCTCTTGACTTATATAGCTAGTTATTCCTAATTGGCCCTAAAAATTGTTTAGATATTTTAATAGACATGACAACAGAAGCAAAAACGTAAAAAACAGCATGTATCTATAGCTCAAAAAGTTACCTGATTGAGCAAAAACAATGTGATTTTTGGATTCAGTACATCAAAATTGTCTTAAATCAGCTACAAATAATTAGACAATAAATTTGGTGTTTACCAGTGTTATGGGGTCATGCCATTTGTACAGAATATTTAAACTTTTTGTCTTCAAACCAGATTAACAGTTGATCAAAAAGCGAATAAATTGAATTTGAAATTTTGACAGGCAAGGCCGAATGTTGTCTCAGTCCACTGCAATCTGAAATCTATTTTTTTTATTTTCTCTCGTTCTTTACCGGAGAGAAACGAAATCTCTACATTTCCTGCTTAATTGGAAGATTGCAGTGATACGAACTTCTATTAGTTTTCTAACTGTCCTTCAGTTTTTTATTATCGATGTTTAACAATATGACATGCAACCAGAACAACCGATGTCTATTCATTTTAGCAGGAGAATTCGTTGCTTATTCTTGGCTATTAGTTTAAGTGCTATTGAGAAGGCTAATAATCAATCTAAGAAATCGGGAAATAATGTTTAATAAGAACATTTTAAGGTCGTAAAATGAAATCGATATAAAAAATGATCTTCGTTTGTAAACGTCTCAGTATATTTTTTGGTATCTAATTACAGTTTATATTTTATGCATAAAGAAATAATAGAGAAGTCATATGACTATAAATACAATGTTCGGCGGAAATACCACCCACAGCTATTTCCCACATAATGTTAAGACATTAACTAGATTTTTGCCACTAATATCTTATGTGTAAGTGTACAGACAGGTATGTACACAAAATAGAGGGGGCGGTAGAAATACCTCCATCGTATACCTCTAAGAAATACCTCCCACATTATGGTAAGACATTAGATAGATGAAGACCATTGTTACTAATGAATTACCATTATGTGGGAGGTATTTCTGGGAGGTATAAGCACATCAGTTTTCCACATATAACTACAAATATGAAGACACCTAGATCATTATGAAGAGTAAAAGTAACAATAAATGATGAATAAATATACAACTTAACATTTTCGAACATTAAATAATCCACAAAAAGAGACTGACATGCGGTTTGAGAAAAAATGGAGTTTACAAGCAAAATAATTTTGTTTGCAAGCTACTTTTTCGTATTTCTTTATATGCTGTGTCTCTTCATGACGTGATCATGACTCTCCAGAGCTTCCTTTTTTATTTCTCAACAATGTTTGTCTCCCTAATACCTCTCGCAGTTCTTATTCTGCCATCCATTTACACAACGTCGCTGCTCCACTTGCCTTTAGTATGTGCTGTGAGGATCAAAATCTCAAGGCCCTAATTTCTCATTAAATCTTCCAGAAATTTCATCTATTTCTTTCTAATTCGAAGTGCAAACCAACTTTTCTTTCCGTTTTACTTAAAAATTCGCCGTTCCTCACATTCATGGTATTCTCAGCATCCTACGGTAGAATTATCTCTTATTTTTGCTTCAAGTATCCGCTCCATCACTCCAAGAAATTGCCCAGCATTCAATACAATATAGCGTGACTGATAATAAATAGCAGTTCAGCACATTTTACTTTATTTCAAATGAAATGCTTCTTTTTCATAATATACTGTTTCCTTTTTGGAAGCCATTTTTCGCTATTTCTGTATCTTTAGATCTTATTATTAGATTATATACCTATGTTCAAGAAAATTATTGAGAATTCATATCACGATATATTTTATGTTTGCATATCGGCGCGTACATTTACATATATCAATTCTACACATAGAGCCATAAAGATAAAAAGAGGTCCGAGGTCATTATTAAGAGTAAAAATAAGAAAAGAGCATTCGATGAATATATATATATATATATATATATATATATATATATATATATATATATATGCACCTCTACATTTTTGAACACTGAAGCAAATAATCCATCAGAGAGAAATACTTAAGAGAAGTGTATTTGGTAATAAGGATAATAGTAGGCTAATCAATGATTTGGCTTCTAAGCAAATTTTGTAATAACCAATTTTCTGGCATAACATTCTTTATTTTACGTTCAGTTTTTATCTGATTTCCTCCCGATCTGTGACGCTTGACATCAGAGAGAGGCTAAATAAGGACGTGATATTACTGAAAAAGATTAAGAGAAACTACATCAAATAACGCATCAAATAAAAGTAGGTATTGATGTAAATTATTATCAAGAAAAGAGTATGAATTTAGATTTCAAGCTAAATGATTATGTGCGACGTAAACATATATACTTGCCACAAAGCAAAAAAAAAAAAGAAAAGAAAAATAAACAATTGGAAATGGTAACATAAGAAAAATTAATTAATAGTTAAAAGAATAAAAAGAGATTGTCAAACACGTACATTACCACCAGTGAAGTCTTTGTTGGATTCTTGGTCGGAAGTGCTGGATTTGGCAAATATAAATCATGCTTTTGTTTGAGGTAAGGTGATAATCAGAGTATGGATTTTATCTGGCATCTTGCTAGCATGGAGGGGGTATATTTGTCATTGCCTTTTCTTTTTTGATGAATTTGAACGTAAAGATGTCTAAGATCTCCTTGAAAAGTGTCAATATAAGAACACGAGCCAATATACCATCCCAGAAAAAACTTACATTAAATATAGTGTAATCGAAAATTAACATTAAATTAATTTGCAGGTATATAATACAGAACCCAGTAAACACACACGTATACACAGACACACAAACACACCCACACACATCTACACACACACACACACATCTACACACACACACACACACACACACACACACACACACACACACAGACACACACACACAGACACACACACACATATATATATATATATATATATATATATATATTCTTGTCACAAAGCAGGCTTGGCACAAAGTTTTACAGAACAATAAAAAATGGTAACACGAGACAAATTAATTAATAGCTAAAAGAATAAAATAATTAAAGAAAAAGAAACTCATGCATTAAGACCGTCAAAGGTTTTGGTAAATTCTTAATCGAAAGTGGCAAATTGGATTTGGCGAATATAAATCACGCTACCGATGAGGAAGGCAAATATTGCAGAGACTTCATTGCCTATGAACTAATCCAGATCATTGATAAACCCACCCGAGTTTCGAGACCATTCCGTAATAAGTTTCCAGATTGACATCAAACCAATGACATACCTTGATTTACCGTTCCATAGAACGGTTTTGCGCTATGTAAAGGCATCTTTCAGTCCTATATGATGGAAGATCCTCTCCCCAACTTCTTCAAATATGATGCCCCCCAAAAAAGCTGCTCTAGTCTCCGAATGGATCCTTTCTGGAATGGAGTGTTTTATACTAAAAAA